TCTGTCTCAAAAAAAAAAAAAAAAAAAAAAAAAAAAATATATATATATATATATATATATGAGACAGGAAAAGTGCTAGATAGAAAAATAGGAAGGAGTGGACATGTGAGCAGTGTGCTGGAGAGGGACAGTTTCTCAAGGGTAGGGCCAGGGAGACCTGTGAGTGGGGTGGCATTGAGGGACTTTAATGTAGATATCAGGGCTCAGCGCCTGTAGCAGAGTAGTTACTGCACTAGCCACAAAGACTGAGGGTGGCAGGTTTGAACCTGCCCGGGCCAGCTAAACAACTGCAACAAAAAAATAGCCAGGTATTGCAGCGGGTACCTGTAGTCCCAGCTACTTGGGAGGCTAAGGCAAGAGAATCACTTGAGCCCAAGAGTTTGAAGTTGCTGTGATGCCATGGTACTCTACCCAGGGCGACATAGTGTGACTCTGTCTGGAAAAAAAAATAATGTAGATATCAGAGAACAGTGTTCTAGGTAGTGGGCATAGACTGTGCAAAGGCCTTGGGGCAGGACCTGTTCTGATTTGTTGGAGGCACAGCAAGAAGTCCCTTGTGGGTGCAGCAGAGTGAGGAGTGGGGGAGAGAGAGAAGAGAGGAAGGAGGGGACAGGACTGGTCATGCAAGGCCTGGTGGCCCCCAGGAGGACTTGGGCTTTAACCTTGAGGGAGGTGGGAGCCATGTAGGGTCCTGGACAGAGCAGGGGTGTAACCTGACCTATATATTTTATTTCCAATGAAAAATTTTGAATATTTTCATGTAAGGAACAATGAACACCCATAAACCCTTTGGCTCCTCTGTTGGTTTCATCCAGGCACCCCCTGAACACTGCACCCCCAACCCAGGCTCTATTCCACATCAGTGGTAAACATTTTAGAGACCTTAACATAATCAACCAAGCTCCTGATTTCCCAACTTTTTTTCACATTTTTTGTTTGTTTTTGAGAGAGTCTCACTATATCGCCCTTGGTAGGGGGCCATGGCTCTCAGCTCACAGTAACCTCAAAACTCTTCAAGCGATTCTCTTGCCTCAGCTGAACTACAGGCGCTCGCCACAATGCCTGGCTATTCTTTTTGTTGCAGTTGTCATTGGGCTGGGTTTGAACCTGCCTGCCTCGGTGTATGTGGCTGGCACCCTAACCACTGAGCTACAGGTGCTGAGCCTTCATGGTTTATTTGAATTTGGATCCTTTAATGTCCAGGCCTTGCATAGGGTGGCACTCCCTCACCTTACTTTGAATCTCTGGTTTTCCCCTTCACCCCTTTAATTTTTGCCCTTGCAAAGTTTGTTGGACAAATTGGGTTTTCCAGCTCATGTCCCCCACCATTTGTATCTAGCTGGTTGTTTCCCCTGGGGGCATCTGGCCTGTTCTGCTGGACCCTGGTGTCCCCAATAAGCTTGCAATACAATCTGGACACTGTGCTGTCTGATGTGCACTAAATATGAAGTGCTCAAATGCTGTGTGTGACAGGACAGATAGGAGCATTCCCATCATGTGGAGTGTTCTAGTCTGTGTGCTCCATCCATTCAGGTTTGGCCTTGGCAGGTGCAGGTCCCTATCAGGAGCCATTGGATGGAGTGATTTGAGCAGCAAGATCCATTTGCTCATTTGATGTTTGCACAGGCATCTTCTTGCAGCTACTGGGAGCCCATGGCTGATGGAACGGATGCTAGGTCCTACCTGGGTGGAATGTGGGGTGGGGTCCAGTGGGCCCTTCTGGGTGTTCTGAATATGGAACCACCAAGGTGTGCTCACGGACAGAGTGTAGGCATGAAAGAGAGAGATGGGTTGGGAGAAGATAAAGGGGACAGATGGGGAGTGGAATCTTGGGCATGCTGAGTGTGAGGCTCCTGTGGGAGGCAGAAGTGGAGGCAGTGCTGGGGAAGTCAAGGCAAGGTCCAGTGGAGATGGATGTGTAGGTGTTTAGAACAGGGGGTCTTGGTCTGTGCAGTGGCTTCATATCTGTAACCCCAGCATTCTGAGAGGCCAGGGTGGGTGGATGACTTGAGTTTAGGAGTTCGAGACCAGCCTGAGCAAGAGCAAGACCCCTTTTCTACTAAAAATAGAGAAACTAGCCAGGGTTGTGGCAGGTGCCTGTAGTCCCAGCTACTCTGGAGGCTGAGGCAAAAGGAGCTCTTGAGCCCCAAAGTTTGAGGTTGCTGTGAGCTAGGAAACAGAGTGAGACTATCTCAAAAAACAAAAACAGAACGGGGGGGGGTGTCTCAATCTGGGTGTTATCTGCCCCTCCGTCTGGGGACCCTCGGCCATATCTAGGGACATTTGGTTGTCATGTCATGGCTGGGTTGTGGGGCTGGGGGTCTGTCGGCTATTTGGAGGGGATTGAGAGGCTGACCTGGTCTCCCGCACAGCTGCACCACCCGTCACAGGGCTTCCGCTTTGGCACAGTGTGGGAGAGCAGTGCTGAGGCATACATCAAGAAGAGCTTCCCTGAGATGCACGGACACATGCGGCATCACAGTGCACCCACTACACCTCTAGGTGTTGCCATGCTCACGTGAGGCTTGGGGCATGGGAGCCCTGGGATGGCACTTGGTGGGATGGCGGGATGGCGCAGGGGAGGCATGGTGCAGCAGCTGACCCAACCCTGATGCCTGCAGGAGCGACCCCCCAAAGCTCAATGCCTTCATCATGGACAAGTCGCTTCTGGACTACGAAGTCTCTATCGACACTGACTGCAAACTCCTGACTGTGGGCAAGCCCTTTGCCATCGAGGGTGAGGGGCAGGGAGGTCTCTGGGGGCCTCGAAGACGAGCGCTAGAGAGAGACGGGATGCATGTGGGCGGAACTCCCCTGGTGCTGTGTCACCCAAGCCCCACTAGGTCCCCGGCCTCCCTCAGGCTATGGCATTGGACTGCCCAGGAACTCGCCGCTCACCTCCAACCTGTCAGAGTTCATCAGCCGCTACAAGTCCTCAGGCTTCATCGACTTGCTCCATGATAAGTGGTATAAGATGGTGCCTTGTGGGAAGCGGGTCTTTGCTGTTACAGAGGTGAGGCAGGACCTGGAACACTGGGTGGGGGAACCCTGAGCCTTGTCTAAGGTGGTCAACCCTCTTCTCATTCCTAAGATGTGCATTTGTCTCATATTTTTGCACCCTTCTTAGTCCTATAAAACCTCAGTTCTGGTGTCCCCTCCTCCATGAAGTCTCATGTTCCGCTATGGAGCTCTTGCTTCCCAACTTGGCTCCATAGCCCCAGTGTCCTCTCTCTGGCCCCGTCTGTCCTCCACAGTCCCAGGCTCCCCAAGAGTCTACCATCATGCGATTGTGTGTGTGTGGGGTTCTTGCCTGTGTCTTCCCCAGACCCTCCAGATGGGCATCTACCACTTCTCGGGACTCTTTGTGCTGCTCTGTCTGGGCCTCAGCAGTGCTCTGCTCAGCTCGCTGGGTGAGCATGTCTTCTACCGCCTGGCACTGCCACGAATCCGTAGGGGCAACAAGCTGCAGTACTGGCTGCATACCAGCCAGGTGAGGGCTGATGTGGGCAGGAAGCTGGCTTGCCTATCCACATCACCCTAACCTGGCAATCAATGAGTCTGTCTGGTGTCCTAGAAAATCCACCACGCCCTCAACCCAGAGCCACCAGATGCACAGGAGAGTCCCAGGCCTGAGACAAGGTAAGCAGTGTTCTGCCTCCCCTTTCCAAAGCATCACCTCCCATAGAACTCCTCTGACACCTGCCCTGAAAGAAGGGTCCCTTCACAAACCTGAGCTCTTTCCCAGCCCACCAGCTCTGTTGACACTTTGGCTCCACGGTGGTGCCTACTGGTCAACCTCCCTTCCCAGACAGAGCCAGGTACAGCTGCCATTGTGGGATAATGCCCACTCCTATACTGTTCTCTAGTGGCCTTGAGGAACAAGAGAGGCAGGACACATCGACAGCTCAAGAGGGCTCTGGGGCCTGTAAACAAGTGTGCCAGGCCATAGGCAAGGAGCGTCGAGTACGCTTCCTGCTGGAGCCCCCTGCAGCTGCAACCCCAGAGAACACAGCTGTAGAGACTAGGACACCAGAGGGCCCCATGTGGCTGTGCTCCAATGGCCGCACACCCTCAGTATTGGCTCAAGGCCCACCACAGCCCAACGAGCTGCAGAAGCTGGAGCAACACATCGAGGGTGTGCGGGAGCGGCTCCGCCAGGCCCTGATACGGCGAGGTGACCTCCTGGCCCAGCTCAGGGACAGTGCCCAGCACCGACCATTGCGCCTGCTACCAGCCAGAGCAGCCCCAGGGGAAGCCCCTTCCTATTTGGGCCCTTGGGGGAATAAGGAATAGAGGCCAAGACTTGGGCCTCTCTGTTCCTGGGCACACACAGAAACTCAGGCTGGGCCACTGTCGACAGTTTATTCTATATACAAACACAATTCTGTACACTTCAATTAAATAGAATGGAATGAGCTCGCCTTTGCAGTCTTTACCGATTGATTGGTTTGGCCACCTGGCCCACTCCCACCCTGAGCAGGGCTGACCCTGACTCCGGTCCTTGCCACTGATGTTGGTGCCTGCACCCTATGTCCCTGTGCCCGAGGCACAAGCTCTGCTTTCCCAGGGACCCCAAGCCCAGGCCTGGTGTGCACGTTGTGGCAGGGGTGGGGGAGACTGGCATGGAAAAGGCACTGCACAAAAGCACCAGGCAGAGCCAGAATGCCAGCCAAGTCCAAAGGCTGGGACAGCAAGAGGTCATGTTGCCCAGCCCATCCTGCCTCACCCTCCTCTACCTCACTCACAGACCTGCACTATTGGTACCTGGCTCTGCCCTCACGACTGTTTGCTCCAGACTGTTCATTAGGGCCCTTCTAGAACCTTCTGTGACGTTCTCACCCTCTCTCCTCACTGGTCACCACAAACACAGCTCACTGACAGGGACAAGCCCCGGGCCAGACCCCACCTCCCAGGCAAACCTGATAAAACCCTGAAACCAACCAAAACAGGCTGGGCAGTCCCAAAGGAAGAGGGAGAGCCCTGGCCAGGTCACACCCAGCCAGCTGAGGACAGCCAGGGACAGAGGCGGCTCAGCTGCCAGTGGTAGCTCAGGACCCAACCTCTGAGGTTGTGTCCACTGGGGCCATGGACACAGGGCTGGGCCTACTCACTGTAGCCACTGGGGGTGCTGTGTCAGGTGCCAAGGAGTCACTGTATGGGACACTGTCCTGGGGGATGTGGGGGAGGCCCCCACTAGAGCCCAGGGGGCTGGCTGGCTGCTGCTCCAGGAGGGAGGCGCTCAGGCCGGACAGGAAGGAAGCGTCTGTGATGATGGCAGCTGTCTCTGCCATCCAGCCCAGGTCACCACCAGTTGCAGCAGCCACTGAAGCTGCTGCTGCCACCAGGGAGCTGGATGCTGTGGCCACAGGCCCAGGACTCCTGCCAGCATCCTGAGAGCCAGGGCCCAGGGCAGGGGGCTGGCCAGTAGAGTCAGGAGCAGTGGCTGGGGTGCCCAAATTGTTGTTGAGGTCATCAGGCAGTGCTGTGGGAGTCCCGGGGCCCAGGGGTGGGGTCTGCAGCAGCATCTCCTGGATACGAATCTGCTGCAGGATGGCCGGCAACTCATAGTGGTGGAAGAAGTAGATCATAGAATGCTAAGGGGGAAGGTAGCAGTGAAGTTAGGCCACAGGCCATGCCCACCCACAACCCCCCCAGCCACAGGGACCACAGTAGAGAATGGAATCCAGCAACCTGCCCTGCCCTCCACCCAGGCTTGGTCCACCCCAGAGGGCTTCCTCTTTTGCTCTAGGATGCAGCCTGACCTCGCTGACCTCCATCCACCCTGCTCTGCAGTGGGCAGACGACTTGGCTGGGTCTCAGGGACAGGATGCATAGTCCTGCTTGCCACCCAGGCCTCACCTGGATGAAGAGCCAGGAAGTGACCAGAGCCAGGCTGCTGTACTGCCCATTGAAGCGATAGTGGTAGGCATAGAAAGCGAAGTGATACAGGTAGAAGAACCTGGGGGGGTGGGGGTGGGGGTGGGCAGGTGTGCCGGCCCAGGGCATGAGAGGAGGACAAGGACCAATCCTCCTCCAAAGACCCAGAGGACCCTCACCTGCAGTCCTGGCCCCAGAGCTGGCTCCACCCCTACCCCCTATATGGACCTGATCCCATAAGCTAACTACCCCTAAGGTGGCCCCACCCTCCTCATGGCCTACTCCACAGCCTGCTCCCTCAGACACACCCCTACACGAGCCCTACTCCCACTCACTGGTCCCCTGGCCCCCTACATGGACCCCCATGACTCCAACCTCTACTGCTCCCTCACAGGCCCTTTTCCTCCCATGGCTGTGCCCCCTATTTCCTTCCCTACAAGTACCCCTCCCCCACCTCTGACCCAACTGCTTACCGCAGCCAGTGCCTCTTGCTGGTGTTGGTGTGGCAGCAGATAGCATCGTACTGGTCAGCCAGCCACACAATGAGGATGATGTAGAAGGCTGTGGTGGTGTCATTGAAGAACTCAGACATGATGGCCTCCATCCCTGCGGGGAGAGGCGGCGCCGGGTTGGAGCGGGCAGGGCAGGGCGTGGGGCGGGGGCGGCGGGCAGGGTCCTCACCGACGAGGGCCAGGATGACGGTCAGCAGGGGTGCTGCAGGGAAGGCGATGGCCATGTTCATCTCCAGCATCTGCAGCAGGTCCACTGCGGACACAGGGCGCGGGCGCCCGGTGAGGGCCTGGGTAGTGCCCACCCCGTCCCCATAGCCAGTGGGACACTCACCAATGAAGACAAAGATCTGGTGGTGGGAATAGCGCAGCAGCATGGACACACTCAGAGTCTGTAGGGAGAGAACATGAGGCTGGGGATGCCCTGGCCAGGCCCACCCAGAAGCAGCCTACCCCTAGTGCAGCCCCCGCCCCTTAAGCCCCAGATGCCACACTCACAAAGATGACCATGATGACAAAGGCTGCCAAGTAGGATGTGCGAGCCATCCACATGCTGACAAAGCGGTAGTGCTCACCGGATACCACGTTCCGCAGGAAGCCTGTGGGCAGGTGGGGTAGGGGGCAGTAGCAGCAGTGAGCAGCCCAATAGTCCAGCCATGTGGCCCCCACCCCCAGCCCAGGCTGCCAGGGCCCTACCCTTATTCTCCTCATTCTCAGCCAGGCCCTTCACACTGGACATGAGGATGTCGTCGTAGCCTAGGAACTCATCCAGAAGCAGGCGGCTGAAGCGGTCCCCAAAGCACTGGTCCCGTGTGGGGTCTGCAGGTTGTTGGATCAGGGGGCTGGGGGCCTAATGGGGCCTTGCCCAGGCCAACCCTGGGCCCTGTACCAACCTCAGGCCCAGATGGGCCTATACTGGTTGGCAGGTCCTCCTGTCAAACCCCAAGAAGCCCCGCAGAAGACCCCTACCCCAGACCAACCCACACCCACACAAGTGGGAGAGGCCTGGCTGCACTTAGCTCCCAATAAGGCGGTCAGACTCACCCAGGGTGACCACCATGACTGGGATGCTCAGGCGTTGTCTTGTGGCCTGTGACAGCCGCAGGAAACCATATTCTAGCGAGTATTCCACAATGTACTCATCCTGCGGCCACACTGAGGGCAGGGCAGGCAGTCAGCCCTTAGCCAGGCAATAAGTAAGGACCCTGAGCCTCCCAGGCAGTGCTGGGAACCCCACCACAGGGACACTTGGCCAAGTTCCTCCTCCCCCTCCTATGGGGCTCCTTGGCTAGAGCTAGCTGGCGGCATGGCTGCCTATTAGCCCAGATGAGAGTAGCCAGGAGGGCCTAGCACACCATAGCTGGGACTCACAGGGCTCAGGATGACAAGGCCCTAAGGGCCCTTTCCCTCAGTATGACAGATCAGAGCTAGAGGCCTGATCCCCCAAATCTGCCACCTTTTTTATTTTTTTGAGACAATCTTGTTTTGTCACCCTGGGTAGAGGCAGTGGTACCATTGTTGCTCCTAGCAAACTCAAAACTCTGGGCTTAAGTGATCCTCCCGAATAGCTGGGACTATAGGTGCCCTCCACAACGCCTGGCTAATTTTTCTTCTTTTAGTAGAGACGAGGTCTCACTCTTGCTCAGCCTGGTCTCAAACTCCCAAGCTCAAATGATCCTCCTGACTGGTCCTCCCAGAGCACTAGAATTACAGGTACGACCTACCATGCCCAAACTAAACTTGCCACTTTATGAGAGGGTCCCCACAGTCTCACATGCTGACAGATAGAGGATGGAGGTATGAAGGTACCCTGACTGGTGCAGTGCATGGAACTAGTAGGGCTCACAGCTAATGTTCCTTTCTTCTTACCTGGCAGACTGTGACCCTGAGTGGAGACCTCCCAAGGTTATTATCTGTGCCTTAGCACCCCATACTTGCATGAAGCCCTGCAAAGTGATGTACCTTTGGTGGGCGTCTCGGGAAAGGGGAACTCCTGGCTGTCGTTCAGGGCCTCAGTGCTGCCCGGTGGGTTGAACACTTTGGGCTCGATGTCCAGCTCAAACTGTGGGCAACCAGGGACCAGGGTGTCAGTGGGACTGACCTGGAGAATGTGGTCCTCGGACACCCCTTTCTCCTGCTGACTGAAAGGTGCAATGACCCCCAGCCTCTGCCAGGACATCCACCACTTCCAGAGATGGCAGGCCGCTGAACCAACACAGACCAGGCCAAGGGAAACTTTATATACCCCTACCTCAGCAGGGACCCAAACCCTAACACCACACTCACCCTACCATGGGGATATCTCAGGACAAAGTTCTGTACTCTAAGCTGGGACAGGAGCTGAGTGATGGCAGTGCTGGCCAGGCAAGAGGCGGCCTCAGAATACAGAATAGTGGGATAAAGGTTGCACCAATACCCCTACCCATGCCTGTCCCTGCCCTGAGGCCAGCCAGAACTTGACAATGACCAAATGCTAATTCTTGAGGTTGGCTTTGAAGGCACAGGCAGGCTTCAGGTACCCAACAACTGAAGCATAAACTTTTCCCAACAGGCCATGGGGCCCACCCATTGACCCAACAGGGTGCTTAGCACCTCCACACACAGCTGGGCTATCTCAGGATGACTGGAACAGGCCCTGCGTTCTCAGTTCCTGGTCCCTGGGCTTCATTCTCAGCTATTTTTACCCTCAATGTCCCCAATACCACCCCCCCCAATAAAGCTGAGAAACCCCAGAGGCCCACATCTTTCCAGCACAAGTGCCTTTGCCCTGCCCAAGGACCCTGATAGATGGGGTGAGGAGCTCGTTTTGGAGTCCCCAGACCATCAAAAGGCCACAGTAACCAGAGCAGGCAAGGGATGGGCTTGCCTGCGTGCCACACCCTGCAAGGGGCAAAGAGACTTCTAAGCAGCCAATGCCCTACATGCAGATTACTTCTTCAGTTACATGCATCTATTGAGTGCCTGCTGTATGGCTCTTCTGGCTCACCTTAATGGAGCTGTTCCCAAACATCTCCATGGTCAGCTCCTCCTCTTCATCTTCTAGCTCCAGGCCATTGCCTGGCTCCATGGCCAGGCCAGGGAAGCTGCCACGGCCATTGCCGTCACAGAACTGCAGGAAGACGGGCGCACGGCTCGAGTTGTGCTGCACCTCCACACGTAGGATACCTTCACGTGGCCACTTGTCCCGCACATGCTCCAGGCAGTTGATGGGTGAGCGAGAGAAGACGATGTGGATGTAGGCCAGGACAAAGAGCACGAACAGTGCCTGGAGGATGGCAGTGGTCAGTGGGGAGCCCCAAGACTCACTGCAGCCTGTGCCCAGGGCCCAGCAGGGGCAGTAGAAGAAAAACCCAGGAGGCCGATGGGGTTGAAGAACCCCTCCTAGCCCAGGAAAACTTCTACCATCAATGGCAGGGCTTAGACATGCCCTGTAATGGCCCTGGGTCTTTTGGGGGTGAGCCAGGATGAGGCTCAAGGGCTAGGGCCCTCCCAGGTGCCTGCAGGACCCCCTACCCAGGAAGAGACCGAGTTGGACTCAGGCTGAGTAGAACATAGGAAACTACCAAGAGGCTCCATCCTGCAAGGTCAGTCTAGGTGCTGCTTCCCCAGGCTGCCTGCTGGGCCCACTGCCCATGTGCAGCCACCCCACAACCCACCCAGAAGTCTCCAGCCTCATGTTTTGCTGTGCCCTCAGGGATCCCCTGATCTCACCAGCTAAAAATAGCTTCCCTCACCTAGCTAAGTACCTCCCAGGCCTGGCAGGGCCAACTACTGCTGTCAGAACAGAACTGACCTTCCATGGGCTAAAGTGAGGTGCCTAAAGCCAGGCTGTTCTGCCTCTGAGGCAGTTTCCTAGTCCCTGCAATGGGTCAGCAGTCATCCACCCAGCATTTCTGCCACCAGTGCATTTGACAATACTATCATGATTTGTGGTTGTGTGTGTGATGGGTGGAGGGAAGCCAGGGATATTGCTCAACACCCTGCAGTGCCCAGGACAACCCCCACCCCAGAGAGTGATCCAGTCTCAGTATCTGGCCACTCTGTGGGCATGTCATGGAGTAGGCCACAGGTAGATCTTCTCCTTGGGGCTATTTTCTCTCTTTATTTTTTTGAGACAGAGCCTTAGCTGTTGCTCTGCATAGAGTGCCGTGGCATCACAGCTCACAGCAACCTCCATCTCCTGGGCTCAAGCGATTCTCCTGCCTCTGCCTCCTAAGTAGCTGTGACTACAGGCACCTGCTATTAAAGCCCAGCTATTTTTTGTTACAGCCATCATTGTTATTTGGTGGGCCCAGGCTGGATTCGAACCCGCCAGCTCAGGTGTTTGCGGCTAGTGCCTTAGCGGCTTGAGTCACAGGTGCCCAGCCCTTGGGGCTATTTTCAATCACCCCTTTTCTGGGAAGTCCACTACTCTTGACAGTTGTGCTTCTCATGGAAGCTCCAGCATAAAGGCCACATCATCACCCCAGAGCTAAATTACCTGCAGAGCCTGGCATAAGCCATGTCCTGCTCCACTACTCAACAGTGCATCCACCCTGGGAAGGAAGGTGTCAGGGAACTGCGTAGTGCTCAACTGAGGACTTGGGTGATCTGTCAGCACACCCCTCTACAAGTACACTCAAATGGAATCCTCAGACTCTTTGAGAAAGAGCTGAGCAGACTCCAGACCCATAGCCCAGAGAAGCCTGGATTATGGAGGCCACAAGCAGGCCTGTCCTCCTAGTCTGAAGCCTTATATATATTGGGCCAATGGCTGGGTCAGCCAAGAATCTCATCCCTTCTGGCCTGGCCACAGAGGGTGAGGGGGACACAGAAGTAGCAGATGGCAAGATGCCCTGAATATGAGCATCCTGCTAAGTTCTGGATCCAGGCACAACTGAAGCTGGAGAAGCCCATTCAGATCCCTCAACCAAGTTAGCCACAAAATCACCCTTCTTGAGCCAATCTGACTTGAGTTTTGGGCCATTGTCGCCCAAAGTGCCATAGAGTGGCACTACTAAAATTTAAGGTGCCTGTAGCTCAGTGGGTGGACTGCTGGCCATATGCACTGGGGCTGGTGGGTTCAAACCTGGCCGGGGTCCGCTAAAACAACAACGACAACAGGGCAGCGCCTGTGGCTCAGTGGGTAGGGCACCCATCCCATATACTGACGGTGGCAGGTTTGAACCTGGTCCTGGCCAAACTGCAACAAAAAAATAGCTGGGAGTTGTGGCGGGTGCCTGTAGTCTCAGCTAGGTGGGGCTAAGGCAAGAGACTCACTTATGCCCAAGAATCTGAGGTTGCAGTGAGCTGTGACGCCATACAGTGACACTATCTCAAAAAATAAAATAAAATAAAATTTAAGCGCTCGGCGCCTATAGCTCAACCGGCTAAGGCGCCAGCCACGTACACCTAAGGTGGCGGGTTCGAATCCCCAGCCCGGACCCGCCAAACAACAATGATGGCTGCAACCAAAAAAAAATAGCCGGGCGTTGTGGCGGGCGCCTGTGGTCCCAGCTACTTGGGAGGCTGAGGCAGGAGACTCGCTTGAGCCCAGGAGTTGGAGGTTGCTGTGAGCTGTAATGCCACGGCACTCTACCCAGGGGGACAGCTTGAGGCTCTGTCTCAAAAAAAAAAAAAATAAATAAAATTTAAGCAAAGACAAATGCTAGAGTTGCAAATGGGAGGTGGGCGTGAGGGAGCAAGGCAGGCAGCGTGGAAGGCCAGTTGTGCCCAGGCGCTGAGTTATTCTTTAAGAGCCTGGGTACTTCCTCTGGTGTGGTATGTGGGGACAGGAGCCATGAAGCCAGGGACTAGCAACAGGCACTGGATGCCCAGGGGCCGCACTATGCATCCCAGGGTAGGAGCTGTACCTGAGATGGCAATGGACTACGTGCCAAGACATTATAAAAAGTGTTGACAACAGCTGGCCTGAGGCTGAGCAATACTTCTGCAGGACTCACCCATCTGCCATGGCCCCAATTCACAGATAAGGAACAGAAGCATGGTCAGGAGGAAAGAGCCAGGGCCTCCTGCTACAACCTCAGACCCCAGCTGGCCTCCAACCATCCACAGACCAATAACACCCAAGAAGATAGGCAGCATTTAGAGACACCAAGCAGGGGTAGTTCAGCCTAGAGGGGCACATGCCACACCCAGCATAGGTGCAAAATGACCTGTCCTATGGGGATGGGGCACGGTGAGTGGCCAGTATCTACACATAAATGTGTACAGACTCAGGTGGGGGGGGGGCCTCCAAGTCCCACAAACACTGTACCCTGGACACCATCCAAATGTCCACTCCAACACCCTGCATGGGGGCCTCAACCCACCAGGAGCTCCAAGCTGACTCAGCAGGCCCAGGACTTCTCCCCACTGAACAAGGCCCCTCTCTCTGCCCTTCCACATGCCCTAGCTAGCCCAGAGCCCACTTCTGCCACCAAGCTCCCCAGCCACTCACACAGAGCACCCTTACTACCCAGACACCTCACCCTTTCATTGGGAAGCAGCTGCTCACTTCCTTAAGATCTCCCCCAGATTGCTGGTCACACCCCATGGTGCTTCCCTCCCTCCAGGTCTGCCCACTCATCTGTGACCCAGAGACCACAGGTGACTTCTGGGCCACCTGAGAACTGCTCAAATGGCTGAGGACTGAGTTCCTGCCACCTTGTCTAAGCTTCCCCTGATGCCCTGTGTTGGATTCCCAGGGTACCCCAACACTCTGCCACCCAGGCAGGCCTTTCTCTCCGTCTCTTCACAGACCAGGAAGGCAAGAAGCTGTCTGGTCCATCTCTGGGTATATAAATGACCAATGGACAAGCCTGAGAGGCCATACCTTCTTTCCCAGGGAGTGAAAGAAGGTGCCTTTCCTAGCTAGGAAAACCTTCAGGAGGGTTCCAGCGATACCTGGGGCTCCTCTCCATTAATTTCATTTTATTCAGACAAGTCTCACTCTGCTGCCCTAGGTTGAGTGCCATGGTGTCATCATAAATCACAGCAACCAAACTTTTGGGCCTGAGAGCCTCTTGCCTCAGTTTTCAAGTAGCTGGGCCTACAGGCATCTGCTACAATGCCCAGATAATTTTTTCTATTTTTAGTAAAGACAAGGTCTTGCTCTTGCTCAGGCTGGTCTCAAACTCCTGAGCTCAAGTAATCCACCCGTGTCAACCTCCCAGAGTGCTAGGATTACAGGCGTGAGCTACCATGCCTGGCTTGCTCTCCTCCATTTAGACATGGGATATTTCCTACCTTAAATACACAGGGACATCTCCTCTTATCCCCATCCCACAATGACAGCCAAGGTGATGGGACCCCCATTCAGAGCAAGGTCCCTAGGATCCCTCCATCCTTACAGTGCCCCATTACTACCAATGGCCAGAGAGGAACGCCCTTGCCCAGGTTGGAAGACACCATGTATCAGGGCCACTCAGTGACTGCCAGGGTCAGTTTGCCTGGGGTCTAGAGTCCAACCAAACAGGTGCAGCCACTGATGGCAAGGTGGTCTTCTAAGAGCTCCTCAAACATGAGCCCCAGCCACCACCTATCTCCACAGCATCTGGCACTGCTGGGCATTTCCTAAAATGACTCAGGATAGGGGCATGTGAGACAGGTGGTCTGGGCCAGACCAAGGCCAGAGATCAGCTGCATAGGCATAGCAGGAAAAAGTAATCTGAGGGGTGCATGCCAAAGAAGAACCCTGACCTCTACAGGAGCAGCACAGAAGCCAACTAGGAAGCAAAGGAACAAAGCCTTCTGGAACTCAAAGTAGGCTCAGAAATCAGCAGTCCCAGCCTGCACTTTGCAGATAAAAGTAAGACAGCAGGGCCTAATTCTGTGCCCACAGGTAGGGCTCTTACTCTGCAAGGGGCAACCTTCGGCTGAAGCCTAGCCCCATCCTACCACCTATGTAATTGGCATCTGCCTAGAAATGGAGCTGAGGCTGCTGGGTTGGCCCAAATAACAGACCTTTTCCCAAAGCAGGAAGCAGTGGGCCCAGAGCCACCATTGGCAATATAGGGAGACACTTTTGAGGGAAGCTGAGCTCTGTGGGGGCCTCGGCCTTACACAGGGCACACACCTCCAATGACATGGCCCAGCACAGAGTGGCTCCTTCCTGGACCCAGGCCACTGTTTATCCCAAGGAAAACACACCCCACAGACAAGTATATGTGTACAATTTCAGGCCATCTGTGAACTCAAGGAAGCCCAATAAAGGATCTCTAATTCAATGATCCCCGACAGCCCTGCCCAAGTGCCTACTAAGGTGACCACACAGTTCTGAGGAGGCATGAATGTGGGAGCCATGAAGTGGGAAAAATGAATGGAGTAAGCACTAGTCAGGGGAACCTAGGTCCTCATGCCAACACATCCAGCTGGAGGCTGTGGCAGAACCAGGGCCTATACCCAGATCTGTCAGAGAGCCAAACTCCTGCTCCTTCCACTGAACCCACAAGAGCAGACCATTCCTGACCAACTGGTATCAGGCAGGTACACACCCAGAGCCTCACCAGCCTGGTCCTCCAGAATCAGCCACCTTTCTATGATTAGGCCTAAAAAGCCCACACTGTGACATTAGGGTTCCCCATGGAAAACAAAAACAGCCACTTTTCATTTCCTCTGATGAGTCAGAAATCCAGAGCCCAGCAGGCCCTGTGGCTCCAACCAGCTTGTTTCCTGGGGGCTGAAGCTGGTGCTGAACCCCTCCTGTCACCTGACCCAGGCTGAAGCCAGTCTCTCACAGCTGAAATCTGTGCCATATGTGGCTGCTAGAAATGGGACAGAGCCCAGGGCATGCTGGTTGAGTCCTGGGCACAGAGGGAGTTTAATCAGACCTGAACCTGAGCTTCCCAAGAAAGACAAGCTGCAACTTTGCCCCTAGCTCTACTGAGGTGACCTCAGCTAAGCCACATTCCCCTGTAAGGCACAGACGAGGGAAAAGCAGGGTGGGGACAGGTAGAATCCCAAAGACAGAGAGATTCCCATCAGGAGGAAGAAAGGAGAATGGGAAGCAGATTTCCAACACAGGACACTTGTCTGAGGCTGGGTTCAGGGCCAGGACAGGCCAAGGTGGGAGGGGCGGGGATCCTCTGGAATGAGGGTTCCAGGCAGAGTCAGGGATGAAAGGGTGGGAAAAAGTCTTTCAGGGGTCAGGGCCCAGATCCAAGCTTCCAGGAGGTGGGAGAAACAGGGGAGGAGACCAGAGATGGGGCGGAACCACAAGAAGCAGAGAGTGAGGATTCCAGAGCCCGGACCAGGGGCTACTAATGAGTTGAGCGGACGTCCCAGGGTTGGACTGGGACTAAAGACTGGGATTCTGGCCACCCCAGGAGTCAAAGGTCGAGGGCTTCGTGCAGGGTCTCTAATTGGTGGGGCCGGTTTTAGGCCTGGGAGGGAGGGCTAGGTGCCCTCAGGGTCAGGGATTGCGGTTGGAGGTCACAGACTTGGGGGTTGGGTCTGGCGCTGGGGTCAAGGGTCGGGGGTCGGGGCCGCGGTCACCTTGAGCAACACGAAGAACTCGAAGAGACGGCGGAAGGCGGGCGGGAAAAGCCTTGAGTAGGTGACAGCCATCTTGAAGAAAAGCGCGTGGAAGAGCCGGTCGCGCACGTTGATGAGGGGGTTGGGGTTCAGGTTGGGGGTGCGAGGCCCGCGCGCGGGGGCCGGGCCGCCGCCGCCGTTGGGCCCGGGCCCCGGAGCTGCGGGCGTCGCATGCTCCGACATGCCGCACACCGTCGCGCCCTAGCGGACTGCGGGTCCCCGAGGGTGCCTCCCCGCCGTCATTGGCTGTCCTCGCCGCAGCCGCACTCCTCACGGACTCTGCGACGCCGCCGCCATCTTCCGCCTTCTCGTCCGGCCGCGGCTCTGCTGACGCCAGCGAGCCGCAGCGCTGGGCAGGAGCGGCCCCCCTGCGCCCGCGGGGGACTCTGGGATGCCGGCGGCCGCCCGCGGAGGCCTAGCCTCAGCACCCGGCGGGGCCGCGAGCGAGGGGGGCGGTGACGGGCACTGCGTCTGGCCGGGCTATTTTGTGCGTTGACTCACTCAAGGATCTGCGGTACAAGGCTGCGCTTGGGCGGTAATTAAGTCAGCAGCTAAGATATTACGTGATCAGAGGTACTTAAATACCATCTAGACCTATGGAGCTCTAGAAAATTTCTCTGAATATAAGAGGTGGCAAGATGATTTATAAAGTAATTTCAAGACAGTTTTAAATATCTCTGGGTAAGGACTCTTTTTTTTTTTTTTTTTTGAGACAGAGCCTCAAGCTGTCCCCCTGGGTAGAGTACCGTGGCATCACAGCTCACAGCAACCTCCAACTCCTGGGCTCAAGCGAGTCTCCTGCCTCCGCCTCCCAAGTAGCTGGGACCACAGGCGCCCGCCACAACGCCGGGCTATTTTTTGGTTGCAGCCGTCATTGTTGTTTGGCAGGTCCGGGCTGGGGATTTGAACCCGCCACCTTAGGTGTACGTGGCTGGCGCCTTAGCTGGTTGAGCTATAGGCGCCGAGCCAGGACTCTTATACTGTGTTCGCATCGTCAGCACATATACTAAGATTGGAATTGTACAAGGCATGTTACCATCGCTCATTATCTAATTAGTTTTCTACTTTTGGCGCTCTGTCGCCCCCTTAGCCTCCATGATGTCACAGCGCCCTTGATGTCATAGAGTTTCACTGCCCCCCAGCTCTGGGTACAGCGAAAACGTGTTTCCCGTAGCGCCACTCAGTCTATCCCGCACTTCACAGGTGGCGCCCCGCCTCCTGCTGCTATAGCGTTAGCACAGCGCTGCTCAGCAGGGGTGTTTATTGAGCGCTTGGTGCATATTTCAGAGGAAAGTACTTTCGTTGTTGTTTTTGTTTGAGACAGAGTCTCACTATGTCACCGTCGGTAGAGTGCGGTGGCGTGCACAGCTCACAGAAACCTCAAACTCTTGGGCTTAAGCGATTCTCTTGCCTCAGTCTCCCGAATAGCTGGGACTACAGGAGCCCGCCACAACACCCTGCTATTTTTTGGTTGCAATTGTCATTGTTTGTTTTGTTTTGTTTTAGAGACGGAGTCTTACTTTGTCACCCTCGGTAGAGTGCTGTGGCGTTGCAGCTCACAGCATCCTCCAGCTCTTGGGCTTAGGCGATTCTCTTGCCTCAGCCTCCCGAGTAGCTGGGACTATAGGCGTCCACCACAATGCCCTGCTATTTTTGTTGTTGTTGTTGTTGTTGCAGTTTGGCCGGGGCCGGGTTTGAAACCGCCACCCTTGGTATATGGAGTTGGCGCCAAACTCACTGATCCCTAGGCACCACCCTGTCGTTGCTTTAGCAGGCTTGGGCCGGGCTCCAACCCACCAGCTTTAGTGTATGTGGCTGGCGCCCTACTCAATGACCTAGGGGCACAGAGCTAGAAAGAACGTTTTTTGTTCTTTTGTATGTGTGTGAGAGAGAGAGAGAGACTCACTCTGTGCCCTGGGTAGAATGCTGTCGCATCATAGCTTACAACAACCTCAAACTCTTGGGCTCAAGAGATCCTCTTGCTTCAGCCTCCAGAGTAGCTGAGACTACAGGCACCCACCACAATGCTGGGCTAATTTTTCTATTTTTAGTAGAAACAAGTCTCCCTCTTCCTCAGGCTGGTCTCCAACTCCTGAGCTCAGGAGATCCTTCTGCCTCTGCCTCCCAAATTACAGGTATGAACCACTGCACCCAGTTGTAAGTATGGTTATTTGAGACCTGAGCTAAATTTTGCTCTAATTCCACCTCATCCACTTCCAGACTATGGATACTCCACCGGTTTTCTTAGTTTTTCTGCCATAAATAGGTTTGCTAAGGTAGATCAGCTCCCAACTCTCCCCTGTGCTCCTGGATCCCCAGACCCCTGTTCCTCAGGGCTGGATCCAGACCTGAGTGTGCCACATGCCACCTGTGAAGGATGACAAGGTATGCAGGACTCCACAAGTCAATGTTCAGTCACAAATGGCATGTACCTGACCCCTGAGCAGTGCCCCAAGCCCCAAGGAGGAGTCCCTAGGACCTAAACACAGAACCCTATGGCCCCTGCCACTCCCAGACCCTGCATATGCAGTCTTGGCACAATCCCCAGTGTCCTACCCTGGGTGGGCACCTTTGTATGTCCCATGTCGCCTTCCTTAGGCATTCTTGAAGCAGCTTGTTTATTGAGAAGCTAATGTATGCCGGGTTCTTCTCCCTCATACTCCAAAATGAGGCAAGGATTGGCTATGGTAGGAAGCCTTGAAGGGCAGGCAGAGGAGGGAGACAGGCTCTGCCTGGGGCAAGGATGCTTGAGCAGCTGCTATCCCCAGGATGAACAACCATACATGCAGGCCCATAGATGGTAGAGACACTTAAAATGTAGGGGGAAATGAGCTTACAGCCCTCAGGGCCTGTGGGTATTCGGGATACAGTGGTGATCACTGCAGGCAGGTCCTCACCCTGCTCTAGGTCCAGCAGAGAAACAGGTGGCCAGATTCGGGGATGGGCATCAGTCATACTATGAGGGGCTCAGACGAGGCCTCTGAGAGATTAGGTGGGACTATAAGTACCTGCCACAATAACCAGCTAATATTTTCTGGTTTTAATACAGATGTATCTCTTGCTCTGGCTAGTTGTTTGTGACAGAGTTTCACTCTGTTGCCTTGGGTAGAGTGCGGTGGTATCATAATAGCTCACAACAACCTCAAACTTTTTTTTTTGAGACAGAGTCTTACTTTGTCACCCTCGGTAGAGTGCCATGGTGTCATAGCTCACAGCAACCTCCAACTCTTGGGCTCAAGCGATTCTCTTGCCTCAGCCTCCTGAGTAGCTGGGACCACAGGCGCCTGCCACAATGTCTGGCTATTTTTAGAGATGAGGTCTCACTCTGGCTCAGCCTGGTCTTGAACCTGTGAGCTCAGAGTAATCCACCCACTTCGGTCTCCCAAAGTGCTAGGACTATAGGTGTGAGCCACTGTGCTCAGCTCAAGCAACTTCAAACTCTTGGGCTCAAGAGCTGCTCTGGGCTTAGCCTCCCAAGTAGCTGGGACTACAGGTGCCCACCACAATGCCCAGCTAGTTTTTTTCCTATTTTTGGTAGAGGGGTCTCACTCTTCCTCAGGCTGGTCTCGAACTCCTGAGCTCAGGCAATCCACCTGCCTTGGGCTCCTAGAGTGCACCCTGCCACTCAGGCTAGTCTTGAACTGAGCTCAAGGGATTCACCTACCTCAGCCTCCCAGAGTATTAGGATTACAGGTGTGAGCCACTGCACCCAGCCCACTTTTTATGGTTTTTTGTAGAGACGAGATCTCATTCTTGGCTCATGCTAGCCTCAAACTGCTGGCCTCAAGTGATCTTCCCACCTTTGATCTTCCAAAGTGCTGGGATTGGTTCAGCGCCTGTACCTCAGTAGCTACATGCCGGCCATGTACACCGGAGATGGCAGGTTTGAACTTGGCCCAGGCCTGCCAAACAACGACAACTACAAAAACAAAAATAGCTGGGCGTTGTGGTGGGTGCCTGTATTCCCAGCTACTTGGGAGGGTGAAGCAAGAGAATCATTTAAACCCAAGAGTTTGAGGTTGCTGTGAGCTGTGACACCATGGCACTCTACCAAGAGTGACACAGTGAGACTCTGTCTCACAATAAATAAATAAAAAGTGCTAGGATTACAGGTGCACGCCTCTACACCCAGCCATTTTTTGTTATTTTTTATGATTTTATTGTTGTCTCTGCCTTGTTCATGTTCCCCAACAGGTGTCCTCCAGAGGTTGCTTCAGTAGCGAGTGGGGCTAAATTGGGCAGAAATGTAGAGACCAAAGAAAGAATTTGAAGCCCTGCAAGGGGGTTCCCAAAACCCCCACCAGGAGACCCAGCCTGGGTGCTGCCCTCAGAACCTGGATGCCACCCCAGGGATGGGATTGGCCCGGAGGTGGTGGCTATGTAGGATCCACCTGCTCTAGGGTCTTCATCCTACCTTGCAGCTCCTAAAGCTCTTCCACCAAAACTCCCCAGCCCAGCACCCAAGGCCCTACCAGAAGCCCCTGACCTGTGAGCCCCACTGCCATCACACCCCATAGGATCTGAACTCACTTTCCTCCAATCCCCAGGGGTCCATCCAGGACAAACCTGAGCGTTCAGGGGAAGAGCAGCTGCAGAGTTCCAGAGCTTCTTTTGGAGAGAAAGCTGAATTGTCCTCAGGGCTTTCCTACAGCTGAGGTCAAAATTCCTAAGACTTTGACATCTATTGATTAAGCAAACCCTTATCTCCACACCTAGCACCCTATGAGCACTTTACAAATATTAACCCATTTCATATTGACCAGAGACCTGGAAGTGGGAGCTTATCAGCCTCATGTACAGATGAGGAGACTGAGGCACAGTGAGGTGTAGAAATTGTGTAAGGTCACACAGTCAAATGGGGAGCTGTGATTTGAACCCAAGCTCTAAGGCAGAAGGTTGGGAGTGTTAAGGTTGTAGAATTATACAGAATTACATATATCCATAAACTTGAGATTCTTGGGTTTCTAGATATTGGGTATTCTAAGGTCCCAGAACCCCAGGACTACTGATTCTGGGATGTCTGAGTCTGGAGTTCTTGGGCTGTGAGATACTGAGAGTTAAGACCTGGGGTCAGGGTGGTGCCTGTGGCTGAAAGGGGTAGGGCGCTGGCCCCATATGCTGGAGGTGGCGGGTTTAAAACCAGCCCTGGCCAAAAACTGGAAAAAAAAAAGACCTGGGGTTAGTAAACTTTTTCTGTAAAAAGCCAAATAGTCTATATTTTCAGCTTCATCAACAAGAACAACTATTCAACTGTGCCACTGCATGTAGGGACAAAGCAGTCATAAATGATACATAAATGACCCGGCACTGCAAAGAAAACTGTCTATAGAACTGCAACTTGAATGTTATATAATTTCTACATGTTGTGAAATATTTTTTTCTCTTTTGACTTTTTTCAACCACTTAAAAAATGTAAAACTCATTCTTAGCTCCTGGCCATACAAAATTAGGCAGTGGCTGGATTTGGCCCACCCTACCACCCCCCACTTGTCCTTATAAATGATAAAGGGAGGGAGGGAGGGGAAAGAAAAGAAAGAGAAAGAGAAGGAAGGAAGGAAGGAAGGGAGGGAGGGAGGGAGAGAAAGGAAAGAGGAAATGAAAGGAAGAAAATGAATAGAAATAAAGTCAAACTAACATATCATTTTAAGTTTTCTTGCAGCCAGTACTAACTAAGAGAGAGGCTGGGCATGGTGGTGCATGCCTGTAATCCTCGCCCTCTGGGAGGCCAAGGTGCGAGGATCACTTGAGCTCAGGAGTTTGAGACCCTTCTGAGCAAGAATGAGATGCCCATCTCTACTAAAATAGAAAGTGGCAAGCGCCTGTAGTCCCAGCTACTTGGGACCCTGAGGCAAGAGAATCCTTTGAGCTCAGGAGTCTGAGGTTGCTGTGAGCTATGATGATACTGTGGCACTCTACCCTGGGTGACAAAGGAAGACTCTGTCTCAAAAGAAAAAGCACTAAGGGCTCGGCGCCTATAGCTCAACCGGCTAAGGCACCAGCCACGTACACCTAAGGTGGTGGGTTCGAATCCCCAGCCCGGACCCGCCAAACAA